TATATAGCCCTTCGGGCTGAAAAAGGACGTTAAACTAGAATAATAATAATAATAATAATAATAAAGCTGCACCCCATTTCAGCACTGTTACGGGCTGTAGGGATAATCATATAACTAAACCGTTTCATCGTCATAGCAAGAGCCCGTATATCCAGTTTCACGCGTGGCCCGACAGCAGGCAGCCCAATAGCTATCCACCTGACTAGTGCTATATTTTTTTCCACCCACGTTTTTAGAGACTATGCAAGTACCGGAAACGTCACTCCATTCCAGCCCCTTATACGGGTTGCCGTCAGCATATGTAAATCCATTTTGGCAACACAAAGTGGCTGCCCGAAGAGCATATGCAGTGCCAGCGCCACCACTGCAGTAGCAAAATGTAGTAGCCTGTATGAAAAGACTGTTAGCTGAACTTCGGCTAGGTATTAGGAAGTTTCAAGAGATGCATAATAGAGATAAATGAAAACGTACATAGGCTGCACTGGCAAAGTAGAGCGCGATTGAGGCGATGGTAACCTTCATTGCTGAGATTGGTTGGCTTTTGAATAGAAGAGACTTTTCAGATGAGGGATATAGAGGTGCAAAGGGGAAGAAATGGTATTTATTGCGTTCTGGTCTAATAATGCTAGCTGTCCTATTTAGTCTTATATCATATGAGTGTAATAACTACCTAAGTCAGATAGTACCGAGCACAGTCAGCACAACCTCTTCCTGCTGACAGTTTTTGCGGTCGGATATCGGCGACCAAGTCGGATATCAGTACTATAAGACGCCAGTGCTTGTATTGGTTGTGTCTGTAAGCGCCTAGGCTAAGGTCGTGCTATACTGTGGGTAATGCTAGGTGCAACATGATTATATTCGATGAATAGCCACCGGTATATCTGCACTAATCGTCATTTATCGGACCGGGGAAACTAACATAGTAACGCCCAGATTCTGTAATCTCACCGAGACTACATTAGGGAGCTGTACCGAAGGGCGCCCAGCCGGTCACAATGTCCCCACCTGTCTGTATCAGCGTTAAATTGGCGATTGGAGCTTTGATTATTTCTAAATGCGAAGTGCACAATATGGCTTTATTGTCGGTTCTATTGTTACCAAGTGAGCTGGTAAATCAATAAGCACTCCTATTCTGCGGTTGCACACCGACTATTCACACCTGCAGCTGTCACGGGCTACGCTTTTGATTTCCTTTTCACTAGAATAGGTAGTGAGAATTAAGTAATAGCTCCACAACGTTATTCCGCGGTCCGAGCCTGCGGGAAAATATTAGAACCCGTCCCCTTATTCAAGGGCCGAGCTGACTAACCTTACTCCCCTTGAGGCATATAACTGCTAAGAACCCCTAAGCTATCCCTCTAACGATTCGTCTCGTGCATAACAGTACTATGATTTTCTGTTGTACCGCGAAGGACGAGGGGTATCACTTCTAAACAGGCTTCTATTACTTGCTAGGTATATAAATAGATAGAGTAAATAAAGTACGTAATTTATTACTTAGCCCTTAGTAGCTAAAGCTTTAGTGTTCTAGCGCCTTCTTCTCTCTCAAGCTAGGCCACGGATACTTTAACGCCTATCTAGAGAGAGTGAAAAAGAGAAACTCAAACCTCTGCGATTGTGGGAGAGTACAGACACCAGATCACCTTCTCCTATACTGCTGGCACTACAACACAGAAAGGCAAGCGACTAAAAGCAACTCTTCGCGAGAACTACCTAACAATCCAACTACTCCTCCACACTAGCAAAGGCAGAGAGGCTACTTTAGCTTTCATTGCTAAAACTAGAGTAGGGACTAGAGGCTGGCATCTAGGCCAAGAACAAGATAACTAAAAATAAGCGAGAACAGAGAGACACTACCTAAAACCAATAATAACTAACAAACTTTCTTGAGTTACTTTCCTTAGCCCTAAAAGAGCTCGCTGGAAGACAGCCCTGCTGTCTAACATCTCTTCCTGTTTACTAAACTGCTCTTCAGCAACTAGAGTCTGCTTTAAGCGCAGCTAGAAGCGACTAAACCGCAGCACAATAGCAGTACTATACAGAGAACACTCTCACTTTAAACAAATTGTACCTAGAACGGCCTCTGGCCAAAGTCTTACATAGTCACTGACTGCAGATAGACTCTAATGGAATAATAATAATAATAAAGCTTTAGTGTTCTTTAACGCTAAGACTACTAAGTAGTCTTATTTTAAGTTCAACTTTTGTCTAATCTAATAGCCTAAACTTAATAGGCACCCCCTTAAAGGGCTACGCGACGACTACTTAACTACCACTAATTCTTCCTATTGTTGCTCTTAAGTTTTCCATTTGTTGGTTACAGCTCATCGCGCACTGCTGTTAGCACTACCGATAACTTAGACACGGAACAGGAAAGTGAGGGCTCAATAGTAGCAGCAGGTAGTATTGTATTCCGAGACGAATCCTTAGCCTCTCCTTTGTGTAGGCTTTAGGCTTATATACTACAAGCTAGCTAGGGGGCCCCTGACTAAGCCTCCTCCCGTGGCTAGGAACGTGGTTCCTAACAACTGCCCTAATGGGTAGCGGCCATAACAGTATTATATACGACTAATACCCACTCGTGCTACCTATACCATGCTGCGTATTAAGTACTCTCACATGAAATCGCTAGGTCTCCTGAAAGCTTGGCTAGGTAGTTCTACCCACCTGAACTACCCAACTACTACATTTGTTTTATTTTCAGGCTTTGTTACTACACATTTAGCAGACTACTTTTTTTATTAAATGATTAAATTCCGGTTCTAGTGGATTTTCACATACAGTACTCCATTATTCACTATGTTCCCACGACGATCACTGATTAGACTTCAGAGTAGCGTACCCTCTTCGGGCCTTTTTGCGGACCCGCAGCGTAGTCCATACTTGGTCGCTTATTTAGCAGTATGGCATCAGAAGATCTCAGAACTGCACGAGATGTAGTACTTGAAGACAAATACCCTTGAAAGAGCGTGGATTGATTCCAATCATCATACGATGTTCCAATAGTTCTAGACTCTGGACGCCTTTCCAATCAGAGCCAAAGGCAGTTTGCTGTGACAGCAGCTAGAATCCGTTGGAAGCGTGGCTTGTATACCGTACGAGGTCTAGCATATTAGGGTTACATCTTCTTTGGCAGACGGACAGGGAAGGTTGCAGTTCTAGAACGCGGCTCCCGGATACTTGGACGTATGAGAAAATTGCTCACGAATCAGAGTTTCCCATTAGCTGTGCCGCTTTCTCGACAAAGACAGCAAAGAAAAAAATTCCGATGTCATGCTGGCTAAGCGAAGCGAAGACGCTACATGTTTGAGATTAGTCTAGGAATGGCAGGTCACTAATCTCAAACGCGAGTAGCTACGGCCTGCCGCTGCCGCTCATGGAAATCCCCGAATCGAGCGAAGTGGTTTTAAGGACTAAGAGTTGAGAAGTGGATTAAAGCGGCTTGCCATTGTCGCCTGAGGAGCCGATGCTGTGGTTATCACGACAGGGCATTTTATTGCTATCATACTCCCGCGGCAAGCGCAGCCTTGGAGCAGTGTGGTTGGTAAGTGTGACGAAGACACTGGGAAGAAAGGCGAAGCCTCTGAGGACAAGTCGACGAGTATTTAGATCCTGCGAAGACTCTGCGTGGATTTGACCAATGAATCGATGGAAGAATAGCAGAACAAGACAACGTCCATGGGCAATCCTTGCCCGTTGCAATCCAAATCACCTCGCTCAGCCGTGTTAGGACATATCTGCTATCTCGTAAGAACGGGATATGCCTAATAAGATTCCTACCTGGCGTAGCTCGGGGCTACGGGGCCTAGCGTACCACGGGCTGCAGTTCCTTGATTTACAGCGTGTCAATCTTCCCCCACTTGGAGCCAGGGCTCGGTACATGGCTGACAGCTCGCCGGCATAACGAAACTAGGCCCTATGTAGTTGACCAAGGCCATCACGTGTGATGACCTGCAGCAGTCGGCGAAAGGCACTAGGCGGGGCCATGATGTGAGGTGGTATAGTGTGCCCTGGGGCCTCCGGCATGTCTGGATATCAGGGGCGTAGGGGGTGTATGTCGCACTCGCGGGCATGATGCTGGAATTCGTCGCTGATGCAGGGGATAGATGAGCGCAGCCATGTCAATGTCGTAGCCTGACGTTTCCGGGCTGTAAGAGGGCGACAGACGATAACAGCCCAACGAGGAGTGAGGGCTGCCCATCTCCGTATGGCTCACGATCGACGTGATACTTCTGGCAAGGGATGAGCATTCCTGATCTCAGTCTTGCGATTGTTGAACCGCGCCTTATGCAGACTAGTGCGTGTTAGGTAAGCGTACCCCACCAACGAGTCCGATGTGCGCCCCAATGGAGCACTTAGCCGGGCCCAATCACCGCCGGCAGACGAGAGAGGCTTACCAGAAGATTCCGACTGCGTCCGCTGCATGTCCATCCCAGCTGCTTCTCGCCCTCGGTGACCGCATACAACGCAACCTGCGCACAGATGCCTGAGAGCTGCCCCGTAGCTCCATCTTGATTGTGCGATATTCAAATTAGCACATTTCTCGATACTCCATTGCCGTCTTCTGGAAACCGGACCTCTGCCTCTTCGTTTTCTTGTTTTTCAGTTGCTCGCCAGTTGCGAAACTACCCCCGCCCCGAACAACGCTACAATGGGTCTTCTCGGCCTTCCACCCGAGATCCTTGATCTGATCATTGACCACACTGCACCTGGTGGCCTGGAAAGCTTTGCCCTCTCGTGTCGGACCGTATATGGGCGGGCCGCCTCTCAAATCCAGCGTCACAATGCGCTGAAAAGAACCTGGAGCCACACGACTAACCTCAGCTCAACCCGCCTGGGCGACACACTGGATATCCTGCACCAGATCTCGCGGGAGCCCATCATTGCTGAGTACATTGAGAACCTGTCCCTCTGGGATCGCCGTTCAGACGATGATGTAATGCACGACATTGATGGATACAACTTCCGCGACGACGCCAACGCAATGGAAGAGATCAGGGACTTGCTCCAAAGGGCCGAGCATTACGCCAATACAGAGGGAGACGAGTGGTGGCGCCAGATTCTCGAAGAGGATGGGGCCCATGACGCCTCAAATATGGACAAGTTATATGCAACCATCGCTTTGCTGAGTTTGCTGCCAAATCTCAAAGTGCTCCAATTGCCCGACAGGTGGCATGAAATCCGAGAAGGTGAGAGTGCCGAAGCTCTCGTTCCTATTGTGCAGTCTCTGGTCTCCATGTCCAACGCCCCGGGTCATCGGCAAAAGCCTCTGGCCCAACTCGAGACCCTGTTGCCATTCGTGGAGGAAGGATACGATATCAGGGTTGGCCTGCAGTGTCTAGAGCCGTTGATGACATTGAAGAGTATTAGAAATCTCTACGCGGTCAGCTGTTCTGCTGTCGACGAGGGCTGGGAAGGTCTTTCTTTTCGCTGGCTGGACCCAAACATCAAGTCGCCATTGACCCGGGTCGAGTTTGCCAGTTGCTGCATGGATGCCACTGGTCTTGCAAGTTTCTTGATAAATGTACCAGCTTTGAGAGTCTTTAGATACTCACATCAAACCAAGTGGCATGGCCTCCAACACGACTGGAACGCTGGCGAGATACTAGAAACCCTCGCCAACTATTGCAGCGAAACCCTTGTCGACATCGCTCTAACTATTGATGAGCTGTTTGGTGAAATCATCAACGGTCTGTCTTCGTTTTTGCGTTTTACAAAGCTGGAGAGGCTGGAAGTCGACGTCGAGTGCTTCTGCGGACCGCCGCTGGAAAGTGGTCAGCGACTGGGTGCGGATGCAAGGATCCCCGAAGGTGCAGTTGCGTGGGGTCACGCCGACATACCTTGTATGGGCGACATGCTCCCGGAAAGCGTGCGAGAACTGCATGTCAATACCAACTACCCCCATCCATCAAAACAAGCTCTCAGGTCCCTATTCAAGAATATTGTGAGCCGGCGCAAGGACAAGTTGATGAATCTGCACACAGCCGTCATCCGACAGTACAGATCGTCGAGTGCGAAGGAAATCGCATCAAACCATGAAGTCGTAATTGAGATTTTTGATGAAGGCGTCGAGAACCCGCGGCCCAGGTCCATGATGCCGCTTTGGAAGAGGGAGTTCGACCAACGTGTCGGTGGTATTGTCTCGTCCTAGGAGTCCACTCGGAATTGTCATGCTGTGGCATGGGGGTATGGATCGAGTGCCACCCTTGCTCCATCGGGCGCAATGCTCGGATCGCCGTTGTTCGACACATGATCCTGCTTGGAGATGCGCAAGAGTCCTGGATCCTTCGTAGTGCTCGTTACAGGCGGACACAAAAACGCTCCTGAGGGTACCGAATTCATCAAAAACATAAATCAAACTTGACGGCGATCGAACAAGGAACGGAGAGTCAATGATGGCCGTGCTGCGGAAGCAGAAGATCTGTCTAGCGCACAGACAGTCCCGTGCTTGTGGTCACGATTGCGTCATGTCCAGCAGATCTCCTAACAAAGCCACGTCTTTGAGTGGGCTAGGTGAAATGCCTGGTTGAGGTATTGATCACCTGCATGGATATCATGAGATCGACTGCGGCGATTCCAGCCGCCAATGATGTCCTTGCAGCCCTGTCCGGCGCAATCCATCGCTCTATTCGGTGTAGGGGACGCAGTTCCAAACATCCTCTAGCCTGTCTTGGTCTAGTCCAACAGACGTTTACCAAAGAGTGAATGGTCTTTTCTGGGCGGTTGCATCTTTTAAACGATCAACGTACCTATAAGAGCAAGGATTCTGTTAAGCTTAGTCCCAAAGCTGCGGATCCTTCTAATCCACAGAGAAAAGCCAAAACAAAAAGAGAAGCACGACTGACTCGCCACTTGTGACTCGGCTTCGCAATCGATCACGATATAGGCTCCGACAGCTGTAGCGTTCGGAGTGGAGAATGGTTCAGTATTGATTAAGGGTTCTGCTGCAATCGTCATTTACAATGGATTCTGTCAGTAGGTGTAAGTCCATTATTATGGTACATGCGCAGTCTGCATCAAGACCCTGATCCACGTCCACTAACGCTACATGCAGGGTATATTTGCAAAGTGTAAGCTACAAAGACCCTTTGCCGCCAAGATTACGACATGATGCAGCCAATAGCTGCATGAATCATCCGAATTCAATTGGTCCTACATTATCGGAACCAACAGCCAATCAGATGCGAGCCTATTCTAACCGTTGGAGTAGCTGTCAAAGCACTGAGATGTGCGCTGTTTTCAGTCTAGTGTGCGTATTACATTTGATGTCTCGACTGCTACTTTTGGAGTCTAATTAAAGCCAAATCCAGTTATGAGATCTCCATTACTCGACCCGAGCTCGACCACGGAACTGCTAAGATATACAGGAAAGCAGTAAATAGCAAAATATACCATGAACCAACAAGACGCAGAAGCAGGGTAGTGTGCTCAAACTGTTTATTCATTAAAGACTCGCAAGTATGACATTTCCCAGTTCTCCCCTTAGCCAACGTATACATTCGACCACGGTTCAATATCTCAGATTGAGAAAACACGTCCCATGTCAAAGTAATGAATTATAATCACATGATTATGGCCTCGCTTTCCCGCCCGTCAGGTTCGTGTATAAATAAATAGCGTTGTGTCTGCACCTCTCATGTCGCCCTCATCCCAACATCTTCAAGAGCAAACAATTCAAGTCGTCCTCTACATTTTAACAAAATCAAAACTCCTTTTAACATCCCAAAAAACCAACACCCCCCAACACCACCAAAAATGCAACCAACCACCCTCCTCCTCGCCACCCTCCTCACCCTCACCGCAACCGCCACCCCCTTCTTCCCCGTCGTAAAACCCTGGCTCGGCGGCAGCAGCGCCCCAGCGACCGCAGACTCGCCCGCCAACACGCTCACGGCGCGCGCCAACATCCCCAACGCCCCCGCTGCCCCCAAGACTGAGCTTACGGCCGAGGAAGCAGCAGTGCTCAAGTGGTTCACGTGCTCGTACCTATGCCAGGTGTCGGGCGACAAGAAGTGTGATTGCGGACAGAGGGTTAAGGGGGCGAGTTTGGGCGATGTCATGAAGGCGTTGCAGAATGCCAAGATTGTGATCAAGGAGGTTTAGAGCGGGGTTGGGGGCTGGTGTGGAGGGGGAGGGAGATAGGGGGAAGAGAGAGAAAGAGAAAGAGAAAGAGGTGGTATAGGGGTAGGTGTGGGTGTGAATAGTTGGAGGGGAGGAAGACACAGGAAGATGTGTAGGTGGAAGAGAAGGAGGAAAAGGAAGAGGAAGTTTAGGAGGCTGGGGAGAGAGGAGGAGGAGGAGGAGAAAGAGGGGTAGTGGTGTTCTAGTAACGGGGGAAAGATTTACAGTTTTTTTTCTTCTTCTTTTTTTCCTGCGAAATCCATGGACGGATACACATACACATCCCATGATTGGGTGTATGTTTTGTCTCTCTCTCTCACCGTCTGGCCAAGACTGAACGAGTATAAGACAGCGTGAGAGAGACACATCTGGCCATTCCTTTCGCTGTACCTTGGAATTCGTTGACGTTACTGAATTTCCTCTAAAATCCGCCTAAAAACAAGCCAAAAAAAATTGTTTCATCTCATAGTTTCTCCCTTTCCGCATCGAGCCTGTCACGTACAGGCTTCAGCATATTGTCAATAAAAGCTTCGTCAGTAGCTTGGCCCACGTCGACGCCTGTGGGAGGTTGAACACACCATTCAGGAATCAAGCGTGTGCCGCCCAAGCTAATCTCCAACACACTTCCACAGGGGTACTCCTTCTTCTGGAGGAGATTCAAGAGCTGAGTTGCACATGCTTCCGGCGTCAGTGTAGTGTCGCGAGTAACCGAGAATTGCTGCTGCTTGGCAGCGTCGAATAGCGGCGTCCATACGCCAGCGGGACACAGCGTGGTGACTTTGACGCCGGTCATGGGCTCGCTGAGTGCGAGCGACTTTACAAATCCCACAATGGCGTGCTTCGTTGCACAGTACAATGGTGCAGCCAGGTTTCCTGCAATACCTGCAATAGAGGCCTGCGTCGTCGTGTCAGTGTCGTTTGTAACGCGAGCTGTTACCAAGACGTGATGAGTGGCTGGATCTAGGTGGCACCACTCACAATGATGCAAACACTCGCTCGCTTTCCCTTTAATAGGCTCTTCCTGATTGCCAGTCTCGTCAGTTTGATAGGATGGTTCACGTTAACGTCCACCTGCTTGTATCCCTCATCCTGCTCCGGGTCTTGCCAGAAGTTGGAAAACGAAGGCTCGAATAGCCCCGCACAAATGGCATAGGCATCCGGTACGTCGTTCCATTGCTTCTCGCACTCGTCAAAAAGCTTGTTAAAGTCGGACTACCGCGTCACGTCTGATTGCACGTAGACTATGTTGCTCTTGCCAGCCGCAAAGGCATCAAAGTCTGGTGTCGTCTTGAGGTCTGCGACCAGGACGCGCGTGCCGAGGCTGTGTGCTTGTTTTACCACACTCAGGCCGATTCCTTCTACATGTTAATTGCTACCTATAAGTATGTGGCCGAGGAGACTAACCTGATGCACCTCCAGTAATGAGCAAAATTTTGCCGTTGAGCGGCTGATCAATTGACGCCATGTTTGTATTTTCCTGCAGCTCAAAAGCCCGGGTCCTCGAGTCCAATCTCAAGTATTTATTGCGAAAAACCAGAAACCCTGGAGGCGTTGCAGAGCGCGTAGGTCTCGTTATGTATGAGCGGAAAACGGGTCCCGTGCCGTACCCGGGATCGACTAATCTGTGTTCTCGGAAAGAGGGGTATCCGCCCAACCCACGACACAAGCAGCGGCTTTCAAGTCGTAGTAGAGCGGAGACATGTGCAACTTCAGTATAGTAGTTTCCCTTGGCATACACCTAATTCCAGGGTCAGGGCTCGCTTCATCGGTCAGTTATCGTTGCTGACCAGGTGTGCAAGTGCAGTAATTTTACTGTAAGTAAGTATGTAATACTTAGCAAACCCCGCAACTATACACTCTGGCCACGCAAGCCTGCAAGAAATCAAGCGAAATAATTCACACCCCCAGCCCATACTATCCTAGACTTTAAAGGACAAACTTAGAGTGGCAGAGACATGAAGCCCCAAATGGGATCTTCCGAAAGCGGGGGGGTTTTACCTACTTAGTGCCTAAGTACCTGAGTACCTCATGACCCTAGCACTCCCCCGCATACCATTAACCACAACCTCCCCCCGCCCAACCGTGATGCTCAAGTTACCCGTGCCGAAAAAACAAAACAAAGGCGTAGACTATTTTCCTGGACAAAATCTCTGAAAAATCCCGTATTGCACATCCCTAAAACCTTGCACCTGGGCATCTAAAAGCCTGGACATTGGATATGCAGTTGTACCCTGAAACAGGCATGGTAAATAGGATAATATCTCCAGCTCATTTATATGATTGTTTAGTATCCAATCGGCGCTTCACGGAAACGTTTACACCAATTCCGGATTAGAAAAAAGGTATACGTTGTGATGTGCGAGTCATTAGACTGGCCTTGACATACGTTCCGCTCTAGGCGCGGGGTGGTAAGAAGGCAGTGTCTGTCTGTAAGTCGAGTTGATTTCAAATTCGACTTTGAATATGCAGTCGGAAAGTTCTCAAAGTAGTATCAACGGCGGTACCACATTCACGGGTGGTGTTTGTGTATGAGGGAAGAGTAAGCTTGTCGAGTGGCAACTGTCTCTTGGGCAGCATTGCATATCAGCATAGAGATAGTATTCTACAGCATGACTAGTTTTGTGATCCAGGCTCTGGATTGCGTTTTTTTTTGGTGCCGGCATGACAAATACTCTCGAGCTCCAAGTCAATATTGCAAGGCTAAGGATATCAAACTTGCATAGCTAGCCGTGATGTCGCTGTACTGAACACGTTGTATTCTCATACCACTCAATCCAGTGCCTAGCAAGTGGAGCCCCCATCAATGGGAATCATAGCGCCAGTCGTGTAGGACGACGCATCCGAGAGGAGATACTCTAAAAGTGGTGCTATCTCTCTTGCTTCTCCCCTTCGCTGAAGTGGAACAGGTGCTTTGCCCGCTAAAGTACCTGCTGAAGTACCTCCTCCCATTTCGTCAACACGTTGCATCATTGGTGTGTGAATCGGTCCACTGTTTGTCGTCAGCGCCAGCTCAGACCTTGCACAGTGTGTTCAAGGATACATACGGGCAAATACAGTTGACTCTAATGTTCCTTGGTGCCAATTCCTTGGCAAGGGTTTTGGAAATGCCGACAACAGCATGCTTGGAAGCTCCATACACGGAGCTATTCGGTACGCCTCTCAAGCCTGCAATACTCGCTACGTTGGCAATCGACGCTCCGTCTTTCATGCGCGGAATTTGTGCTTGTAGGCAGTTCCGCACTCCAAATACGTTGATACCAAAGATGAAATCCCATTCCTCGTCTGTTGTAGCCTCGAAAGGGGTCGGACCCTTGCCATAGACGCCCGCAACGTTTGCTGCACCATCCAGCTTGCCGAATCTCTCGATGGTTGCAGCAGTCCATCTATCAACCTCGGCACGCTTGGTTACGTCAACGACTTGGGTCATAACTTCAGCGCCGGACTGTGTGAGCTCGGCCTCCAGGTCTTTCAATGGCTTTTCCTGGATATCGGCAAGGGAGAGTTTGGCACCTTTGCTCGCAAAGTGTCGCGCTGTCGCTAAGCCTATTCCAGAGGCCGCTCCTGTTATAACGATGACTTTGCCTTGGAGCGACATTGTGTGATGTAAGACGGTGGGGAAATGGGTTATCGTCAAAGAAAAGGTCTTGGCTAGATGGGATGCGAGTGTGAACAAGCATGATCTGCAAAGCGTCTTATTTAAATGCTGGCAAAGCCCAACAGACGGATACAAAGAATCGACCATCCGTCGAACCACTATTACTTTTAGCAATACATACATAGCAAAAAAGGTTAAGTACTCAGGCCGGATGGTTGGAAATACCGGACCGGCTGACGCCCTGATATTACTTGCGGAGGTTGATGCAGGGCCTTGCTTGCCGATAATGCCTCTAAAGGTCTTCGTTCAACCGGTATGAGGGGTGTGGTATCAGGTCGCTCAAGCGGTTCTTGAATCACATTGGTGTTCTGTAGGGAGTCTGGAAATAGATCGACCTGACCTGTGACGCCTTGACCGGCCTTCATGGTTGACACAGTATAATCCATCGACTCTTCTCTATGCAGTGGTATCCCTGTGGCACAGAGATGCGCATGACCTACGCAGTATAAGATCAAGCACGGCTGTGCCCCTCCCGAGACCCGGCATCTCCGCCCTACCCCGCCTGGAATGTGGTGATCTGTGGGAGCCAAGCTCAGTTGCTCGGCACCTTGAGAGACACGCGGCTTTCGTTTACAATCTGTCCACCTGACTTTGCTCGTATTTCGTAGACTATGCAAAAGATGCCAATCAGGTACCGATTAATGTGGTGGCCGCTTGGCATTGATCGAGCACTCTGGCTGCCATTTAACCACTTTACCCAGGCTACTCGCAGCGATTGAACGATCTGTATGTGAAGTTGAAGGCGAAAATCCAGAGTACCAGAAGATGGGAGAAAGTTGAAACATATGGAAACCTGAGAGAGACGCTGAGAAGCTGAGAAGCTGAGAAGCTGAGAAGCTTGCCAAGAAGACGAATCGAGCGGAGTACCAGAAGCGGCTGCGCACGTGAGATTGAGACGAGCGAGGTTGAATTGATCCTGAAGAAGAAGAAAAAACACCTGTGAAATGTCAAGCTAACAAAGACATGTTCAGCACGCAACCGTAGTACACGGGCCCACAAGCTTCAGTGGCAGTAGTGGTAGAGTGGCCGGGCTTGGCATGACGCAGCGACTGGCTGCGTCGGACCCCCGAGAAATAATTTGGCGGGGCAGCCAAACGAAATGCCCAAGTAATACGTACTTGGGGTAACGCGACATGGCATGCCACACCCACACACACACACACACACACACACACACACACGCACGCACTCGAACAGCCTTTGTTACACCGCCACGTCGACAAGCGCTCTCAGCTGCTACAAGCTGCTATAAGCTGCCCCGCCGTTTCCCAGACTCGCTCGTCCGCCCACGCACTCACTCGCCCGCTTCACCATAGGACGCAAGCGCAAAGCCCACCGCCAGCAGGCGCAGCAGGACAAGCCGTGGCGCGAGGGCAGAGGAAAAGGAAAGGGTAAAGGCAAAGGCAAACGAGGCAGAATGGGGCAGGACGAGTCGAGAGTCGTGGATCCAGATGCGCCGCCGCAGACGCTCAAGGCGCGCACGCTGGATGCGCTGGCGCAGTACATTGCCGACGGGCGCGCGCGCAAGATTGTCGTCATGGTATGTAGACTCGCACGCACACGCGACGCGACAAGTTACTAATGGGGATTTCCCACCCGCAAAAAAGACAGGAGCAGGCATCAGCACTTCAGCGGGGATACCCGATTTCCGCTCGCCGGACACGGGGCTGTATGCCAATCTCGCGCGGCTCAATCTGCCCTACCCAGAGGCCGTCTTCGACATTGCCTTCTTCCGCAACAACCCCGAGCCGTTTTACGCACTCGCGCAGGAACTGTATCCGGGCAAGTTCCGGCCGACGATTACGCACTCGTTTACACACCTGCTGCATCAAAAGGGACTGCTGCTCAAGCTGTTCACGCAGAATATTGATTGTCTCGAGCGCGAGGCGGGCGTGCCGGGCGACAAGATTATAGAGGCACACGGCAGCTTTGCGACGTAAGAAGCTACTTGCGTACAGCTGGGGAATTGACTTGGAGCTGATGCATTTCCCAGACAATGTTGCATCGACTGCAAGAAGCCGTATCCCAAGGAGCGCATGCACGACGCCATCGAGAACAAGTCGGTGCCGCGCTGCCTCGACGCCGAGTGCAATGGCCTGGTCAAGCCTGAAATCGTCTTCTTTGGCGAACAGCTTCCCTCTTCCTTCTTCGACAACCGCGACCTCCCCGCCGAGGCCGACCTGTGCATAGTCATGGGCACCTCGCTCTCGGTCCACCCCTTCGCGTCGCTACCCCAGCTCTGTAGAGACAAGACACCACGGCTGCTGATAAACCAGGAGAGAGTGGGCGACATGGGATCACGAGCAGACGATGTCTTGTTGCTGGAAGACTGCGATGCTGGTGTGAGGAAACTGGCTGACGCATGTGGGTGGCTCGACGAACTAGAGGCGCTCTGGGCTACGACAGCACCGGCCGGAGAACCGGCGGCACCCAAGGAACAAGTCAAGAAGAGCCGCGACGAGCTCCTTGAAGACGAAATCGAGAAGCTCACAAAGGAGGTGGATGCCAATCTTAAGCTGGGAAAGGCGCAGTATGAGTGGCTTGAGAATCACATTGACAATAAGCTGGCCCGGAAACAAGACGACGAAGCGAAGCAAGAGAGCGCTAAATCGGGGCTGCAGCCAAATACCGATCCAGACTCCAAGACACTGGCGCCTATAGCCAGTCCCGGAGAGACAACAGCAGACCCTGGGGCTGATCTGGGTCATGTGTTTCCGCATTTGAAGAAGCCCTCGCTCTGAACGAGTCAATGGATAGATGGATAAATGATGATGCATTTGAAGTGTATATTGGATGTAAAGATTTACGGGTCATAGATTCATGGGTAGCGATGGTATTCAGCCTGCGTTCAGGGCAGCAGGCACCATGTCGAGTTTGTTTAGCTGCGAAGGATATTTCAGAACATAGTCGTGGTATATGTTTGGTAATTTTAGTAGTTTGTTGTTTGCCGATCATCTGCACGTCATTTGGTAAGCTACGTTTCCACGAGGATGGATACAAGGGAAAAAGAACTTACAGTTGGCGCCCATTGCCTTTCTCAGCTTGAGCGTCACCGCCTCGGCGTCCAAATCCTTCTTGTCTCCCGTCTGGATTTCGACGGCATACGTCCTGATGACCTGCTTGACCTGTCCGCTCTGGAAGCTCATCTTGGCCTTGCGCATAACCTTTGTTTGGGGGCCTGTTATACCGAGCAATATCAATATCTGCCATTCCGCCATGCAATATCTAAAGAGCATGTGATGACGACACACGTGTCAAAGGGTCTTTGGGAGAGAAAAGAAATACAATGATACTCACCTTGCCAAACGACAAAAGCAAACTTGACACGTTCACTGTACTCGTCGTTTCCAAGCTTCATCCTCACGTAGGCATATGCTGCCTCGTCATCGCCAAGGCTCTCCGTCATCTCAGCGATTTCGCCTGTGCCTGTGCCTGCCAGCTTGAGGTTATCTGATGTTGCCGATGCATACTATTGGGACTCATTAGCACTCATGCTGGGGTGAATTTGTCCTCGCATATGGGCATCATTGACACCGGAATAGCTGGTCTCGTGACAACCATTGCATGCGCTGGCAAGGACAAAGACGGGCTGAGCAAAGCCGTTTTGCAGCATATATCGCTTCCAAAGCATGGTACCAGATATACCACGGTGGGTTGAGACGAGAGCCCGGCATGGTGACATGGCACAGGCAACATACCTTCAAGATAAGCCACGTCGTGTCCGATTTATCCGAGCGCACATCTTCGTACGCCTGCGCGATATCAGGGTCGTTGAGGATATCGGCTGCGGCAGGCATTGCTTTTTGCGTGTGCGGAGGGCGTCTGTCCAGGAGACGCAATCGAGGGAAGAGAGGAGGCGTGGCTTTTTTCTGCGGGCGACAGGGATGAGAAGCGGAAGTGAAAAGGATGAGGAAGTTGGGGATACAGGGTCCCGAGCCTAACTGCGGCTAGTGCGGGGCTCTGGACCTGTCCTAGTGGGCATGGCCTGCCTGGCCAATGGCGCGCCGTCTGGTGGGGGTGTCTTGGCGCGCTCGAGCCGCAGGCGGTGTGGGGTCCGCGGTGGGCATCATGTGCTGAGTGTCAGATCGGGCTTTTGCTGCATCCACCGCGGCGCTTCTTTTTTCCTGTACGTTATCGTCGTTTCGAGACGCCGTCGCGGCTGACATGGCCATGTGCGTACATTGCAAGCGGTACTTGGGCTTTCCTCGATGCGTCGTAGACGTGGCGCTCGGCAATCGAGAGCCATCTTGCGGGCTGGGATGGAGCAGCCCTGTGGGTGTGGAAGCATATTTCTGTAGAACTAGTCGAGGTTCTCGGTAGCAAGCTGGAAGGGCTTGGAGAGTTTGCACAGTCTTCAAGCTGTTGATGCGAATCGGGAAGGTTGAGCGCGAGTACACATTGCACATCTTCGGTGGGCATGCACTCGAACAGCTGGCGCCGCTGATGCTGCTGGAGAAAGCCTGACGAGGCCGCAAAGGGAAAAGAGAAGGATTCATCCGGAAGGTGGATTGGCCAGCACTGAGTTGGCGTGTACTGTAGTTGCGTTGCCATGAGCATTCTCTGCCATTGCTCTGCAGTCGGCGCATCAGGAGCGGGCGCCTTGAAAACCATCGATGCCTTTTTGACACGCCCAAAGAAAGCCCTGCAAGGCTGAACGCATGAACTCTGCGAAGATAGCCGGTATCCAGACCAGCTCTTCGTCGTCTGCATCTGTTACCCAAAGCCATGGAACGCAGGCTGTTCAGTTGTAAGCGGGGTCAAACAAGCTTACCATGCGTCACAATCGGACTCTAGATTGCCGGATACTATCCAATCCCAGACATAGCAGGATTGCAGCAACTCTTGAACATGTAGAAGCCACATGTTGCGTTGCCAGTAGCGCATAGCCGATCACGTGAGGCCGCGACAAGGCCTCTATGGCCCCGGCGCGCAAAGCCGACGGAACTGCCGGGTTGCCAAAGCGAGTAGGCGCCGCATCTCACACACCGGACGCATTCATCGAGAGAGAGTAAACAAGGTGCGGTGACAGAAACAACCAGGGCGAGGCGAATTGCCGCAGTTAGTCTGGCGCCCACGGATGCAGGAACCGAGGCTGGAATGAAGTGATGCTCTGGGCGCGCGTGTCGCCCCGCGGAGCCTCTGTTGACACTCTCTCCTCGCGTGTTGCCGGGCGTATGCAAACGAGAGACGATGCATCGTGGAAGACTAATACGCAACGAATACGCAGAAACATGTCCGGGGGATGCCCGCTAAGGCGTGGGAATAAGCAACGGCGGCCTGTTGGCAGTGGCAGCGTGGTGGTGGTTGTCCATGGACAGCCTCCCGATTATTGGGCCCAGCCACCACAGGAACGCACCGGAATTGCATCATTGCGTCGTCGTCAACCAGCGCAATGCCGTGTCAAGTCTCTCAGGCATGACCCTGGCTTCCTCTGCATCCTCGCCCGGCTTGAGCCAAAAACCCGCCCAGCTGCATCTCCCCTCTCGTCGCTCTTTTACTCTCGTGTGCAGCGGAATCACAGCCTGATCTACGTCCCCCCCACAACGACCTAGCGCCGGCTTCTCCGGTCAGCAAGGCGCAGGAACTGTTGTTCCCCCCGGTCTACCAAGGCCAAAACATTCCCCCAAAGCCCAGCAACGATAAACCTCGCAGCAGCGCCGCGCCCGCTCCATAATTGCCATGCCGGCCTTTCGCGAGCCACTGGATGCCGTTGCGCCACACATCGCCAACATGGAGCTCGACGACGCCGCCCTCGCGCCTCGACAGCCTGTCATGGACGCGCCCGCAATCGCTTTGGATGCGCCCAATGCAGCTGCTGCAGCAATGGGCAAGCGACAGAACGTGATATATACCCAACAAGGCATCATCCCCACCTACTACGATCTGTCGGGCCCAGAGCCCGGTACGGTTGTCGGCATCGTCCTCGGCAGTGTTGCCGGCTTTCTCTTATTATGCTGGTTGCTGCAGTCGCTCGTAAACACCTCGCGGAGATCCAGGACGGCAATGGCTGGAGAGGAAGAGATTGTAGTACGCAGGGCCCGACGTAACTCACATGGAACAACCCGATCGTCCCGCCGCCGCTCAGAGGTCCGCGAGGTCAGCAGGAGCCCGCGCAGGTCGGGCACCCGCTCACAGATCATTGTCGAAGAGAGGCGACAGCCGGTACGCTCAAGGAGCGTTGTTGTAGAGGAACGGCACCGCGTGCCGGGCGACAACGTGGTCGAGGTCATTGAGGAGCACGAGGATTATCGCGAGAGGCGAGGAAGCCGGAGAGTTCCTAGCGGCTATCGGTAAGTGGCACATTGTTTACGCTGAGAGTCATGAGCCTAGTACTGACATACCCAGGTAAGCTGATACTAGAAACTTGTCTGGTATGGCTTCCGCTCTCCCCGCGCATCTCGGCCAACACCACCGCTATTATGACGTGCAGCCACTCGTTACCAGCACTACCCCGATACCCCTGGAATACCTGTTGTTGATCTCTCGCCTTTCTTGTTCTCAATCCGTGCAGATTGTCTCTGCTAATCTCTTTTTGGTCTTTTACCATAATATGTCATTTCCAGCACCAGGCGTTCAGGCAGCGCGGTGGAAATACGGGGCAAAAATCTCCCAAGTCACGATGCAGGTTCGTGCGTTACGCGTTACGTATAGCGATGTATGCCTCCACGCTGGGAGCGTCAGCGGCTCTTGAGCGAGCTCTATGTTTGCAGATACCTATGTAACGAGCAGTATACGATTAAGATGGAAGTTTTCAGAACAACTTGCATGTTGTGATGCAACCATTTGGTTGCGAGCGTTGTGAGTTCTAGTTTTATTCATATATACAGAAGAAAATAGCTTTCTAATCATCGAAAGTGGAAAAGTCACGAGTCCGAAATGCTGCTCTTTGTCAGTGGCTTGACGGTTACACATCAAATAGTCAAATACTTCTTAGTCAGCAGGGATAATGCTACACTTTTTTGCTTCTTTCTTCTTAGATCGCGGAAATATACCTCGCACCGGGATACTCACCTAGCTTTTCACAAGGCGTACTTGACATGTGCGCTATTCCCTTTCCGGTTAGCATATACCAGCACTATCCTTTGGATACATCTCAATGGCCAACCCCACGTTGTTTCTTTCACCCCCGTCCCGTCATTTTACAGGAATTACGCCCAGAATGACTGACCCATTTAGAGATTTTGTGGGTGATCTAGACCCATTCTCTTCCTTCCACACCAGCCACGTCGATCTAGATCCCACGCTAAACGATGGCAGCTTCGCCGACTTGTCTGAAGCGATAATGGCGGCAAATACTGCACCTTCCCATTTCAACGGCTCTTGCATGGCGGGGCAACCACCATGGCGGCCTTCAAATAACTCCACTGCATCCTCATCACCATTCGGATCTGGGGTGGCCATCATGAGACCTAAGCTTGGCAGTCGATTTTCTAAAGAAGTCATCCGCACCTTAAAAGACTGGCTTGCCGTTCACCAGCAACACCCATATCCTACCGAAAGCGAAATGGCAGCACTTCAAAATAGGACGGGATTGAACAAAGCACAGCTCACAAACTGGTTTGCAAACGCTCGGCGCAGAGGAAAGGTGCAAAGCGTACGCCCAGCGTCACCCAAAGGCCGCGATAAGCCCACGCCTCCCATAGACATAATACAGAGGCCAGGCACTCCCGCAGTTCGATGTTCCCTGGATTACAAGGATCCAATGCAACGTTGGGTAGAGTCTCCACCTGAACATGAACCTGCCGCGGCGAGCGACATTGTTCGCGCCATGGCCTCTGCTTCCAGTAAGTGCATCCTCGGCTTGCGCAGCCTGGGACGTGCACTCGCTCCATGTAACTGTTACTAATACAATGCAGGTGGAGACGGTACCGGAGATATCGAGAGTGGCCAGTCGTGGCAATCGCCTTACGCGAGATCGTTGGCAAGTAGTACGAGGACGTCACAATCAAGTGAATTCTCCGGTCACTGCTCCTCGGGATCTCAGAAATCGCTCAAGATACGCCGAGCGCCTCGCAAAAAACGAGCCAACAGGCGGCGCCGATTGGAAAAAGAACCCGTCACCACACCTTTGATCATGCCGTATCAATGCACGTTTTGTACCGAAGTCTTCAGGACCAAATATGATTGGCAGAGACACGAAAAATCGCTCCACTTGCCCCTGGAAAGGTGGATATGTGGGCTTCATGGTCCTCGCTTCGCAAAAGAAACCAATGAAGAGCTCTGTTGTGTCTTTTGTGGAGAAACGAACCCAGACGAGGCTCATGTTGAAGCGCATCACTATTCAGCTTGTCAAGAGCGGAACCTTCGTGAGCGTACTTTCCACCGAAAAGATCATCTGGTTCAGCACCTGCGATTGGTCCACGGCGTTGAGTTTGCAGATTGGTCAATGTCTTGCTGGATGCTGCCAATACCTGATGTCCGTTCCAGGTGCGGATTCTGTGGCATTACAATGAGTACTTGGCTGGAGAGAACCGATCACCTTGCGGACCACTTTAAATCTGGTACAACAATGGCTAGCTGGCAAGGAGACTGGGGCTTCGACAGCTACATTGCTCCTTTGGTAGAGACAGCAATTTCTCCAGGTACAAGACATACCAAATGAATGCGTAGCTGCAGAGATAGACTAACACCATGGCAGATCTTATTGAATGGGAAAGATACACGCTCATACCAATGAAAGGAAGCGATCCATCTTGGGGTACCCCGCCGAACGCATATGAGCTGCTCAAAATTGAGACCGAGTTCTTTATTCAGCGATACTTTGATGAGAATGGGCAATTGCCCGATAATGATGCAATGCAGCTTGAAGCATGCCGTATCATCTTTGCTGCCGAGGCTACTTCTGCCACGAACTCACCAGGAAAAGAAAACCAACATCAAGTTTCGTGGCTGCGCGATCTTGTCATGTCATCACCAACATTAACTAAGCGCGCCATGTTTCAGCCTGTGCGATCATCCCGCGAGAGCAGACATTTCCCGCTCGTGATCAATGCAAAAGGCCACCTATTCGAACATTGTCCCATGGAAGCACGACTTCGTGGTTTTGTCATGGAACAGATGTTGGCGGGTGGTGTGCTCAACGACACACAACTCCACAACCAGGCATGTCAGATTGTGAGACAAATGGAGCAGGAAACAGGCACGCCTTCGGATACATTTGCCAACTGGCTCGTAAAAGGGATTTACTCAGGGACCGATTGGTTGTCAAAATTCAAACAGCGAGCAGATATAGTTGATATCATCGAGACTGCTGGTGTTCCTTCAGGCCCAATGCTGGAGACATGGTCTGGTTCGTCATGGCCACGGCTACCGCATGCAAATGGTCGAGTATCAGAACCAGACATGACGAGCCTCTCTCAGCAGACGCATAGCTCTTTTACGCCACTGTCTGAGTTTCCAGAAGAAGTTTCCATCACGCCTTCGACAGCTACTCAGCCCGATACCCAAGGCCGGCAGCGAACACTGCTTCCAGACGACACGAATTTTTACCGCGTGTTCGAGAGCGACATGAGACGTTGGGCAGCGTCCACATTGTCACCCAAGAATCCTAATTGCCATGTTCCATCAGATGAGGAGATACAGCATCAGGCACGTTGGATCATGTTCGATGGCGATGACTCGTGGGATCAGACACCTGCCGACTTTCCGGTCTGGCTCTCGCGGTTCAAAAGGGAAGTTGGGATTACCAAGGATGTTGAGGTCGTGGATCCAAAGGAGCTGGTGACGTCACCACCATGAATGCTTAGCTCTTCAACGGAACGATATTCCAAGTCTTCTATGTTTCTGTGTGGCTTGCTGATCTTCAATTGGAATCACTACCTAATTGTGAAGTGGGAATGGATTTATGCGCTATGATGATGCGGGTTGGATACGAAGCGCTTTCAGGAAAAGAAGAACCCCAATGACCTAATGACGAACAATTACACTAGAAGCATTTGGGAAGTAAAGCCGCCAACCAGACTATAGAACTTTCTGCGTCGTCGCCGACCTTCATTAAATGTACCAAAGATGTGACGGCAGCTTAACAATCCCGCAGGAAGTGGATGCTGAACTCTGGGTATCTCCTTACGGAATCTTTTTGGGACGCTCCACACGGCTTATTAAAATGTTTCAGCCTGGGTCAAGACGGTAGAAAAGCCTTTTTGAGGACGACTGAACACCGTGAACTAAATGTCCCTGTCCATTATGTCATCGTCTATGGACGAATAACACCACATTTGAAAGCGAAGATTGGGTGCGTTTGGTATCAAAAAGCAGATCAAGCCATATCAGTTGGTCATTGCAAGTTGTTTAATGTGCGCACAGATGCAATATTACCAGAAACAAGATCGCATCGAGGAGTGGTTGGCTTGGACCTGTCTCGTAACTAGCGCTTCTTGGCAATGACCAATCCACATTACCCCAGAGCCTCCTTCTCCACACCCCATCCCGCCTATCCGAAAGAGAAGTATACCACATGACTTTTTCGCATTTCCCTCTTCAAAAGCCACCGATCACACCGCTGAATGGCTGGCCCTGCGGTGCGCGCATGTTGTCTTTCTTTTCCGATGCTTATACCACCGTTGTAGCTTGCTCGCGACATTCACAGCACGAACGACCCGCATTGGGGCTGGCCTGACCTTACCCAAAGGAGGATACCACCCGACGAGCGGGAGGCTTTGACGATTAACAACGCAAAAATACGGTTAAATGAGTTTACAGGAGGCAAGTCATTAGGCAACATGAACGGCTGTCGGCTCGACTGTCACGGGATATAACCATTCATTGGTTGATCAGCGCCTCCCTCATGTTGTAATTCCCCACACACGGAGCAATTGAGTCCGAAGCAAATCGTATAAGAGGCCTTGCACCCCATGGGGGACCACGACGGTTCGGCGCTTCTGGAAACCCAGAAATATGTCTTTGTCGATATCGAGCAGAGGCATAACCTGATCACCTCGTTGTCAATCGGTGGGTCGATACACAGAGTACTGGTCGAGCCCCTATCACGCCATGGTATGTTCAATGCGGCTCACATTGTAACCACCCACACTTATCCCCGCGGGACTCGCCTCCGCGCTTACGCCCGCGAAATCTGGGCTGACCATCACAGTCACGTCTGGAGATATGGTCCATGGGGCACTCCACGTCTGCAGGACAGCCATCATCCCACACTGCCAGTCCCCTTCCCCGGTAAACCCTCGGTCTCCCGAACATCAGCCGGCCTCAAAATTTGCTTCCAGGACCCTGAGCTGGGTATCGGCAACGGTCACGATATTCGCCCCGCCATGCGGTCACCTCGCTCCACTATGACACCCCTTTTTCCAAAATCTTCAGGAACCTGAACCAGGTTTTTCTCTCCTCGTGCAGTGTTGCGGGCCGCTAGCGCTGCAACCTCGGAGTCGGAGATGAAGTTTTCATGGTGCGTCGGCCAAGACCGGCGCCCATCGGGACAAACGCCAAATTCACACAACGCGGCACGATTGCTATTCAACGGACATGTATCCCGCCAACCGATATTTCAGCGGTCAAAAGACGGTTATTGTATTGCAGAAACCTTTCTTTGGCCGGCTGCGAAGACTGGATCGGACCCTTCATGACTGCCAGTGGAGGGACACCATTTGAAGGAATAGTGGCAAATCGATCTACACCAACTACACCAGAAGGAGCAGTCCACCTGCATTAGCCGCATGAAAACTTATCCATTCAGGCGCACCACTTTTTGGTGGATTCGCATGCTTCCACTTCCGATTCCGACCAGCCAACGTCCAGCGAATACTTGAGGCTCTGCGGCAGCTAACCGTGGTGGCGTTTGCGCACGCACCCTTTTTGCAGAGTATTATGTCATAGGAGCCACTCGTCCGCCTCGTCTAAGTTGCAAACGCGCCTACATCCATGCGAAATCAGTTGCTCACACCATCTCATTGGTTCAACGTATGCTACGATCGGATAACGTACACACTGTTGAGGGCTCGCCGAGCCCCTGCTCCATCAATGTTTTACCTGCCTCCAGGTTATGCCACTGTTCACAGTCTGGTTATCCATCTAGTCAAGCACAACGAGCCGGCACATGATTGAAACGAGCCGCTAAGTGCCGAGAACGCAAAACAACAAGAAAAAACAGAAGCTGTCCATGTGCAATGGTTGCTGTGGGCCCATCACCTGGCCATCACCGTCCGTGCTTTCTGGAATCCAACACTTGTCCCATGTTGAGCGATTAAAGAATTTCACTACCGGCAGGCTTCCGGCTGATGCTCCCTTGTGAGAGGCTGCCCCATGGACTGCTCCAGCTTGACGATGCAATGTCATCATCTGCCCCGTCTTCTCCGGGCTCGTGCGAGTATGTCTCCTGTCGCCTCCATGCCTAGGGCGTTCTGGAAAAATTCGTTCGTCTGGGTATGCGGATGAACCTGATACTGGGGCTCCACTGTCAATAGACCCTACAAACCCCGTCTCCGCGTCTTTCGCTATTTAACGGGGCACCCTCCTCCTCTGCATCCACACTGGTCTCCTCTTCTCCAGCTTCTCTCCAGCTCAGTCTCCCAGAGAAGCATACCCCAGGCTGAGGGAATCCAAATCCTAATCATTACCTCTTTACATATATCTTAATCAAAAACGCTCATCATGGCTGGCTTGTCGCGTTTTTTCAACAAGGGAGCTGCGGCTCAAGAACCACGTGAAAAGGGCACGCCTGACAGCGTTACCCCTGCCGACACACCTCCCAGAGGCAACTCGCACGCTGCCCATGGTGCGGATATTGAGCCCAAGGGCCGAGTACCAGCTATTGCTGTTATCCTCGGTGCGGTTGCTAGTATCGGTGGCTTCATGTTTGGTTATGAATCTGGTCAGATTTCCGGTTTCCTTGAGATGAGCGATTTCAAGGACCGTTTTGGCGACGAGGGCAAGTTCTCTGCTGTCCGCCAGGGTGCTATTGTCGGTCTGCTTGCGTAAGTTTGAGTTTCGAGGATGAAGGGATTGTGTTTAACAATTGGACAGCGTCGGTACCCTGTTCGGATGCTTGGGATCAGCCCCTCTTGCTGACACTTTCGGTCGTCGTCTCACCATCTCCGGTTCCGCCTTCTTCTACATCATCGGTGTGATTATCGAAATCACGAGCAAGAACGTTTGGGTTCAGTTCGCAATGGGCCGCTTCACTGCTGGTCTTGGTATCGGGTCTCTTTCAACTGTCGTACCCATGTACCAGTCCGAGTCCATTCCTAAGCGGATCCGTGGTGCAACTGTCTCGTCTTACCAGCTGTTCATCACCCTTGGTATCTGGACTGCGTACATGGTCAATTACGGCACGGAGAAGAGCTACAATGGCAGCGCTCAGTGGCGCATTCCCAACGGTCTTTCCGCTCTCTGGGCTATCATTCTCGGCAGCACCATCCTGCTCCTCCCAGAGTCGCCTCGTTACGCATACCGCAAGAGCAAGGTTGACGAGGCTCGCGCCAACATGGCTCGCCTGAATGGCATCGACCCTTACAGCCCTTTTATCGACTCTGAGATTGCCGAGATTCAGGAGAAGCTTGAGGCTGAAGCCGCTGGTGGTGACCACCCATGGCACGAAATCTTCACCGGCCCCCGCATGCTGTACCGCACTCTGCTCGGAATGGTCCTCCAAGCTGGTCAGCAACTTACCGGTGCCAACTACTTCTTCTACTATGGCACAACCATCTTCGCCGCTACCGGTCTCAGCAACTCGTACGTTACCTCCATCATTCTCGGAACTGTCAACGTCGCTGCAACCATTGCGGGACTCTGGATTGTTGAGAATGTCGGTCGCCGCAAGGCTATGATGGCTGGTGCTGCTTGGATGGCTGCCTGCCTCTTCATCTACTCCTTCATCGGACACTACCAGCTCGACCACCAGAACCCGCTCAGCACACCCCAGGCCGGAAACATTATGATTGTCTTCACTTGCCTGTTCATTGCTGCCTTTGCCACCACGTGGGGACCTCTTGTCTGGGCCATTGTCGGAGAGCTGTACCCCGCCCGCTACCGTGCTACCTGCATGGGTCTTGCCACAGCATCCAACTGGCTCTTCAACTTCATCATCTCCTTCTGCTCCACGCTGATTACTGACCGCATCGACTACTTCTACGGTCTCGTCTTCGCCGTCTCCCTCGTCCTGCTCTTCTTCATCGTCTACTTCTTCATGATCGAGACAAAGGGCCGCTCCCTCGAGGAAATCGACACCATGTACGTCCTGCACGTCAACCCCATCACGAGCGCAAAGTGGGACCCATCTACGCTCCAGAAGGACGGCCTCGTCGACACTGACCGCCTACACATGGGCCCCGGCGGCCGCACCTTTAGCAAAGCCGAGCAGAGCGGCGGTCAAGGCGGCATCTTGGAGCCTGCCGAGAGGAACGAGATCCAAGTGTAGAAAGCTTGTTGTAAACAATTTATCCCGCATTAACAATTGCATCTGAATGGCGCTTTGGCCGGTTTTTCGCACATGTTTGAGCATTGTTCGTCAAGTACTACTTACTTACTTACCCTACTTATATACCTTTTGGAGGCAAACGGACGCTTGGCATGAAGGAAGGAAGGAGAGAAAAAAAAAAGATATCATGTATAGTTTATGTAATGAGGAAGACATGTCGAGTTGATATGAATGTCATGTTTTCTGAAAATAATTAGTTGCATGGATTGAATGATAATGTTGTTCAAAGTGACGATTATGTGTAGTGTCGATGTTGGTAAAATATGCCTGTGGCTGTTGCAAGGAGTTACCTAGCACTTTTATTAAGATACGTTGATGAGGATACAGCGTCCGTGTCTGTAGTAGGAACTAGCAATACTGTTATATAGTACTGGACCAGATTGCAAGGCAGAGCAGAGTCGCACCCCTTGTGACAAGTGTAGACAAGCAAAACAAGTACGTACCTTTTTTTTTCTTTCTGGGGGACGTTAAATGCAATACACATAACTATATGTATACAATACATAACTTTTTTTCTTGTCTTTCGAATACATAATGCACCAACACTACACACAGCCCAGAGGTGTGTGTGTGTGTGTGTGTGTGTGTTATAATGGGGGTTTGAGCTTTTTCGGGTCTACTCCCTTGCTACAAGTATGTAGTATGTATGTAGTATGTAGATGTTTTCACTGCTACGATACATACTACGCAGAAGTTCTTTTTTTCTTTCTTTTCACAACCATGCTATGCAGGAGACGACAAAATATAGAGATATAATTAATAATAGGATATAAAATAAAAAAAGACTATCTCTACTACTAGTAAATACAATACCACAGTGTAGATTTGAGAGAGAGAGAAAAAAAAAGCTTACTATCCCTTTCGTACAAGACTCCATCACAATACTCACCCATGTCCAATCCAGTCTACCCTACAAATCTCCCTAAGACCTTGGATCCTTAGCCCCAATATCCCCACTACTCCTCGCCCACGGCTCACTCCCCTCCTCCGGCCACACAACCTTATCCTGCGCGCCCTCGGCCTCACGTTCCGCCGCCCACCGCCTCAACACATCCATGCCGACACTGTCCAACGCCGCCGCATGCGTCGCTTCTAACTTCACACGCGGCACATCGGCTACGCCCTTGTCCGCAGCGCTCTTCCACATGCGGGCTTCGACGCAGAATCGCTGGCCAGGCCCAACACCTGCTTTGCGCAGATCGGTGCCGGTGGAGGCGCACATGTCGAGGAAGGCGTTTGTGAGGATGGCGGCGATGGGGTGTGCGGGGGTGCACATGCCTGGGTGGAGGGAGGGCGGTAGGGAGGAAGATGGCGTGTTTGTTCTTTCAGACGAGTGTTTGTGGAGGGGAGCGTCGAAGACTGGGGGGTTTATGTTAGGTTCTCTCTTCCTCTTTTTGGGGGGGGATGATGGTGGTGGTTGAGAAGGGAAGAGGGGGGGGGGGAAATACCGTTTTTCTGCTTGACATCGATGAAGCCTTGCTCGTTTTTGCCGGACATGATTACTGCTGGGTGAGGTGCGTGTACAGCACGGTCAATCGAGTTGGGGGTTTCAGACTTGAGGGGTTTGTGGTAAAAAGCGCCCTTTTTTTGGAGAATCGTCAGGTCGAAGTGTAGAGCAAGAGGTAGATACAGTGGTGTTTCGAGATATGTTACAACGAAACTGCGATAATTGAAAGTACAAAAAAGACTCCAGACGATTCATTCCATAGTGTTTGTATACTCGTACATCTTTGAGTTCCCGTGGAGCAAAATCCGGCGTAACAATGATGCCTTTATTACCCCATTCTTCGACCCTGTCTTGACGTCAGCGATATCAAGGCGTCAGGAAATGCAATCCATTGCAATCAAGATAGACATATGAGCCATGAACATAGTAGACGGCCGACGTAAGATTTGCCGAGTATCAAGACT